TGGGCGGGCAGGGCCGGGGAGCCTGGCAGCAGAGAGGAAGGGCCTGGTGGCATGGGGGATGCACTGAAAGCTCGAGGGCAGGGGGAATCAATGGGAGGCTGTGGAGGAGCTGTGGCCAGCTCAGTTGTCCTGTGGGAATAAGAGAGCACGGGCGGTTAGGGAGCACTGCCCATGGCCTCGGGCGAGGGCTGCAGGGAGCGCCAGGCACCTCACCCAACTGTGTGCTTCTGCCACCCCCAGCCTCACCCCTTCACTGACACAGCCAGTGCCTACAGCCACTGCCTGCCTGGACCCAGGAGTCCTGGCTCCCAGCCCCCCTGCTAGCCACCTGGATCCCACTCCCCTCCCAGAGCTGGGACAGAACCCAGGAGTCCTGGTTCCCAGCCCCCCTGCTCCAGCCCCGTGGACCCCACTCCCCTCCCAGAGCTGGGATAGAACCCAGAAGTTGTGGGGCTCCCTATATCTCCCTCTCCCTGGGTGTGGGCATGCACCTGGCAGACCACGCTGATATCCTCCCGGTGGGTGCAGTCGTGGTAGCTCCATAAGCGGTGGGCACAGTTCTGCAGGGTCTCCTCGGTGCCTTTGCAGCGGATGTCGTCCAGCCAGATTTTCCCCGTACCCTGGCCAAAGCGGGGCCAATCCTGCAGCTTTGGGGCCAGTGGCTCGGCTGGGCCACAGCCCAGCTCCCGGCAGACCACTTGGGCGTTGGTCTCCGACCAGTTGTCATCGCACACGGTGCCCCACACTCCGTCATACCGCACCTCCAGCCGCCCGGAGCACTTGCTTGGGCCGTTCACCAGCCGCAGTGCAAAGGGCTCTGTGAGGAAGGGGTGTGTGTGGATCAGCTGGGTCGGTGCCCCAGTGCATGCTGGGAAGGCACGGCCTGGCAGGTGGAGGGGGCTTGCCAGGCACTGACCCCCACATCGCAGGGGCGCCAGTGCTGTGCTGTCTGTGCCCTGTGTGCCCAACCAGGAGGGGCAGCTGTTGCCAGGCTCAGCTGGGGCCCCGGCACACGCTGCCCCATGGGCAAGGAGGCTGGAGATGTGCCTGCTGCAAGGGGACCAGCTTGGCATTCAGGGGGCAAAGCCCAGCCAGCCCTGCCTGTCCTGGGCCTCTGGCAGGGGATGAGGGCCTGGTGCCAGAGCTGCTTTCTCACCTTGGCACATGACTCCGGTGTCCCGGTGGTGGGGGCAGTGCCGCCCCTCCCAGGCTTGGGCTTGGCAGTGGGTCAGCGAGGCCTCCTGCCCGGTGCACTCCAGCTGGCCCAGCAGGACAGGTGCTGAGCTCCGACTGAACTTGCTGCAGTGGTGGGTGACGTACCGCGGGCTCCCACAGCCTAGCTCCCGGCAGAGCACCTTGGCATCAGTCAGGTCCCAGCCCAACCCACACACAGCACCCCAGCGGCCGTCATGGTAAATCTCCACCTGCCCACTGCAGCGTGTGTCGTTGCCCACCAACCGGACAGGTGGCTCTGGGAGATCTGCAGCTAGAGATGGGGGAAGAGATGTGAATGAGGATCAGGGAGAGATCAGGGGCTGCAGAAAGCAACTTACAGAGCTGGGAAAGACCCAGGAGTCCTAGCTCCCAGCCCCCTGCTCTAACCACTAGACTCCACTCCTCTTGTAAAGTCTGAGGCCTTTTTTCTGCAGCCATATTAGGAGAGCAGCAGCCATGAGCCAAGAAGCAGAAAGTCCCATCCTCACATTCCATCTAAGTTACATTAAAACAATGTAGTAGCGGGCTGTTAAGAAGGCTCCTGTCCTAATAGTACCCACCATCACCAGATAAAGAAACAGATCTTAAGATGTTTAAAGAAAACGTTGTTTGATGCATTCGGTCTGGCAAGGTGCCACTTATCAACACTTGTGGGTGTGAAATCTCTACTTCTTTATAGCTTTGCCTTTACGGTCCCCACTTGTCTCTTGTTTATCTGTATGGTCTCTGTCTGGTTCGTTGATTGGTTCTGTCTGTTGCATAATTAATTTTACAAGATTTCAATCAGCTATGGTGGTGGGAGATGATTGGTTAAAGAATTGTTTCATAATGGACTAGGGTTGTGAAAAATACTGTTGTGTAGTACTTTAGTTTAATATGATTGGTTAAGTTATATCTAAGCAGGACTCAAGTTTCACTATATAAACTGGGGTCCAAAAGGAAGTTCTTTGGAATCAACTCTAAGAACAAAGCTGCCAGACGTCCACACCCTGCCAACCACACTGTGCAGAAGCTGGAGTCCCCAGATGACCTGATCCTGGCTGGCCAGCGGGAAAATTTCATCTGCCTTATTGGAAGTGATGACCATTGTATGCTTAGCCTGTGTATTCTGTATTAGTAACTATTAATAAATAGAGGTTAAGGGTATTACTGTGTAAGGCTCTTTCCCTGGAAGGCCCCACAAACCCACAGACGATTACGCCCTGAGCCGTAGGAACTGGGTAAGGGAAGGTGTCTTTCCCCCGGAGTCCTAGGAACTGGGAAAAGATCACGGTGCCTAAATCAACCGGGTTACGCCTTGAGCTCTAGGAACTGGTGTCACGTTATTGACTTGAACTGGGACCATATAGAACATGGTTGCAACCAAGGTCCTGTAGTGGCACCAACTCTTGTATAAAGGGGGTCAAATGAGGTGTCTAAGACAAGGTTATGGTTTGCTGGTTATGATTATGCTGTCTATATGTGTGTATCAATTTTGTAGTTGAAGTTATGAATATTGGCTCTATACTGTCTGTATTTCAAACTTATGCTATGCTTCTGGGAGACATCCCAGACAAGTTGGTGTTAGCTCTGCCTAGTCTGCTTGATGGCCCATTAAGGACCATCAGCTGTACAACTGACCCATTCAGAGAAGGCAGATACACCTTGCAACTCAGCAAAGTATGCAGGGACTGGCCCATGTGACTCCAGACTCCATTTTGCTGTAATTTTCCACAGTAAGGACAAAGAGGTGTTCTTACACCTGGAAAAGACTATAAAAGGCTGATGCCTCATCTCCATCTTGTCTTCAATCCTGCTTCTTACCTCTGGAGGGACTTTGCTATAAGGAAGCTCTGCGCAAAGGACTGATGACCCATCCCAGCTGGGGATGTTCCAGAGAATTGATTTGAACCTGCAGTTTATTCTATCACTGCTACAAGCCTGAACCAAGAACTGTGCCATTACTGTATGTAATTGATTCTATTTAACCAATTCTAGCTCTCATCTACATCTTTTTCCTTTTATGAATAAACCTTTAGATTTTAGATTCTAAAGGATTGGCAACAGCATGATTTATGGGTAAGGTCTGATTTGTATATTGACCTGGGTCTGGGGCTTGGTCCTTTGGGATCGAGTGTTGGTTTTCATAACCATTTGTCCCCATAACGAGAGGCACTGGTGGTAATACTGGGAAACTGGAGTGTCTCAGGGAATTGCTTGTGTGACTTGTGGTTAGCCAGTGGGGTAGAACCAAAGTCTTCTCTGTTTGGCTGGTTTGGTTTGCCTTAGAGGTGGAGAAACCCCAGCCTTGGGCTGTGACTGCCCTGCTTGAAGCAGTTTGTCCTGAATTGGCACTCTCAGTTGGGTCCTTCCAGGACCAGCATCGTTACAACTGGGTAAAGATGGGTGCCTTAGAGTTTATAGGTAACAGCCTCCCAGAGCCAGGAATAGAACCCAGGAGACTTGACTCCCAGCCCCCCAACTCACTAGAGCCCACTCCCGTCCCAGAGCTGGGGATGGAACCCAGGAGTCCTGGCTCCCAGCCCTGCTGGGGATGTATCAGTAGCGGATGATGCATGTGGACACTGACCCTGCTGCATGAGGGCATTTTCCCTTCATAACTTTGCCCCATGGCACATGACAGGGAGCAGAGCCCAGGCCCTGCTTGTCCCACCCTCCGGACCTGTCAGGTCCCCGCCCTGCTCCCCGGGCAGACTGTGCAGTGCTCACCCAGCAAGGCAGCTCAGTCAGAACTGAGCACCCCATCCCGGGACCCCAGGCATCCTCCCATCCCTCCCTTAGGGCCAGGGCTCTCCAGGCCGGCTCACCTTCACAACGGGCTCCCGCATCCTCATCATGCTTGCAGAGGTCCCCTGGATCTGTGTACGAGCAGTTCCCCAGAGCTGCCTCTGTCCCCTGGCACTGCACGTCAATCATCAGGACAGGGTCTGACTCGGGGCCCGGGCCGAACACTTTACTAGTCAGCGATTTCAAGGCCGGCCCACAGCCCAGCTGCCTGCACACCACGGCCACGTCGCCCAGGTCCCAGCCGTCGTCACACACGGTGCCCCAGCGCCCGTCCAGACGCACCTCCACACGCCCGGCGCAGCGGTGGGGGCCACCTACCAGCCTCACCTCTGGCAAAGCAAACACAGCTGCTGGGACGCCTGCTCCGGGGCTGCGCGGGGAGACCCCAGCACCTCCAGGGACTGAAGGCCCAGCTCAGCGCGAGGCATTGCCAGCGAGTGCAGAACAGGGCAGAATGGGCTTTCCCGCGACACTAACCCTGGGCCCTTCTCCCGCACCTCCCTCCCACCACATGCTGCACAGACAGGTCACTGAGCCCAGGAAATGGCGCAGCATCAGTGCCCCTGCTTTACAGAAGGGAAACTGAGGCACAGAGACAGGAGGTGATTTACCCCAGGTCACACAGTGAGCCTTGTGCAGAGCAGGGAATAGAACCTGCCTCCCCCCCCACACAACTCCCTGGCTAGAGACAGGGACAGAACCTGGCCCCCTCCCCCAGGCTCACAGCACATGGTCCATGCGCTGTGTGAGGACAGGGATGCAATGGGAGCCCGGGTCAGTGTGACAACAAGGGGGTACCCCATGGAGAGAGGGGCCACCCTGACCTGGAGGACAGGGGCTAGATTGAGTGTGAACACACAAGGGGCTGGCAGTTTCTTGCTAAGAGTTGTAGGGGAAGTAAGGGGTGTCAGGGTGGGGGAAGGTGGTAAATAGCTGGGGTTTCTGCTCCCTTTGATCTAACACAATTTGGTTGGCAGATTCCCAGCACTGAATGAGACTGCAGCACAGGGAGAAACCAGAGCTGGTGGGAGAAAAAGGTGACACCGTCTTCCTAGGGGAATGTGCTCCATTGCATAGGGTTACCATATTTTGAGTGTCCAAAAAGAGGAGACTCCACGGGGCCCCGGCCCCGCCCCAGCCCCGCCCACGCCCCCGCCCCAACTCCACCCCTTCCCCAAAGTCCCCGCCCCAACTCCGCCCCCTCCCCTGCTTCCCGCGAACATTTGATTTGCGGGAAGCCTGAAGCAGGCAGCAGGTAAGCTGGGGGGGGGGGAGGAGGCGCGGCCCAGTCTGGCCCCCCCAATCAAGCGGCTCCCTCCGACGTCCGGCCCTGGCCCCAGCGGCTCCAGCCTGGCTCGGCTCGGGCCCTGGGGTGCCAGCCCAGGGCCAGCCCCCGGCCGAGCACCCCCGGCCCAGCACCGCGGGCCCCCGGTCCAGCACCCCCGGCCCGGCCCCAGCCCCTGGCCCAGCACCCCCGGCCCAGCACCGCTGGCCCCCGGCTCCGCACCGCCGGGCCCGGGCCAGCCCCCAGCCGAGCACCCTCAGCCCAGCATCGCCGGCCTCGGCCCGGCCCCCGGCCCAGCACCCAGCGGCGCCAGCCCCTCCCTATTTTCCCGGACATGTTTGGCTTTTTGGGATTTCCTGCCGGACGGGGATTTGAGGCCCAAAAAGCCGGACATGTCCGGGAAAATCCGGACGTATGGTAACCCTACCATTGCAATGAGTCACAGCTCACATAGGGGCAGCTCTTAGTGCCTTGCTCCTGTTGTGTGCTTCAACCCAGGCAGCCGCCTTGCTCCTGTTGCATGCTGGGATCTGCACTCTGCCAGCCTCCTTGCTCCTGTTGCATTCTGCGACCTAACCTGCCTTAACACCGTTGCACTCTGGGACCTGTGCTTGGGCAGCTGACTCTCCAAAGGGCCGCCGTGGTGACCTCTGCTCAGGCCCCAGCCATCATGCCAAGGGGGGGTTGGGATCCTGGCCTGGGCTCTGGCAAAGGGCAGCCACCTGGGGGCCAGACATACATACCTGAGGAGGAGGAGGAGGAGACTCCCACATTGGCAGCTGGGGAGAGACAAGGGAGAAACTGTCAGGAGCAGAGGGGCCAGTGCACCCCAAAGCTTCCCAGTCCCAAGGCACCTGCAGGAAAGTGGCGCCGGGCGGGGCAGAGTCCAGAGCAGTTAGAGCCAGACACAGCAGTGACATGTGCTGGGACCCAGGGGAATGGGGGAGCCGCAGGAGGCCCAAACCGGCTGCCCATCGGCTGCTCTTCCCTTCTCCTCTCACTGGTAAACAGACCAGCCCCATGAGGTCACTGCCTGGCCCCACCAGCACACAGACTGAGGCCCTCTCCCTGTGGGGGGACTCGGCAGGGCAGGGCTCAGTCACATCTCCTGGTGGGGGGAGAACAGGCGAGCTTGTTGTACCCCCTCCAGGGATACACCTGGATGCAGGGGCTGCCGAGCCGGCACCTCCCCCCGATGGGGTGGGTACCTGCCACACCCAGAGGGGCCCTCACCGAAGCAGAACAAGAGGCACAGCCGCAGATCCATGGCTCCCTCGGGGCGAGCAGCTCCGTCCTGCCAAGAGCTCCTCTCACCCCACCCAGCCTGGGCAGCCCCTTTTAAGGGCTGGCACAGGACTGCCAGGTCAGCATGGGAGGAACTGGAGTGAGGGGCCGGCCCTTGGACCGGTCACAAGATCGTTTCCCGGCATCACGGCACTGGGCTCAGCACGTGTCCCAGGGCTGGGGGGAGGAGGGCAGGGGAGTGACACTGCGGTCAATAGTGTTGCCTGCAAATGAACCCGCTGATGTGGCAATGGATGGCAGTGCTGCAGGGAGCAGGGCAGGAGCTCAGTGGGGGGCACTCTCCCCTGTACAGGCAGTGCTGGCCCCAGTGCTGTCCTGGCTCTGGGATGGGATGGAAGGGAAGGGGAGTGGGGTCTGGTGGTTAGAGCAGGGGGGCTGGGCGCCAGAACTCCTGGGTTCTATTCCCCGGCTCTGGGGGGGGAGTGGGGTCTGGTGGTTAGAGCAGGGGGGCTGGGAGCCGGGACCTCAAGGCACCTCCCCACTCTGTGACTGTCCTGAGTCCCATGGCTCTGGTCCAACTTTCTGACTGCTTCCCCTTCTGATTCTGCCCAGAATCTCTGCAGCCGGCTCCACTTCCTTCTCTGGCGGAGCTGGCACTTTGGGTCCAAGGGGGGCTCCCTCCACATGGCAGCTGAGGGAGGAGGGAGCCTGATCCAATAGGGACCCTATGCCTGACTGCCTCCCCCTCCCAGCAGAGAGATCCTGGGGGCAGCATGGACACCAGCACTGAGGTGGGCAGGGGACAGGGCCACCCCCCCCCCCCCCAGAGAGGGGAAAGCATAAAGGGGGCAATCGGCTTGGAGCTCTGACTGTGAAGGGAGACCATCCCCTACTAGCCGCTCCTCTCCCCTCCCTGCAGCACAAGCCCCCTAGTGCTGCTCTGGGGCTTTGGGGTGAGAGGAAGGTGCCCCCTGCTGGCTGCCTGCCCCACTCCCTGCAGCTCCCTGTAATAAGAGGGGCCTCGGAGGCCTGCCCCAGTTGTCGGCTTAGCTCTGGGAAAGTGGAGGAAAGCGTGTGAAAGGTCACACACCGCTGCTGGGGAAGGGTCCCTAGGGAGCCGGCCGCTGGCTGAGTTCAGACAGTCTGGTCTCCAGCTGTAACTCAAGGCCGATGTTGTGCTCCTGCCTGGTGAACGAGGTGTGAGGATTGCAGAGATGCTACGGCCGTCCCTTCGTAACCTGAGATCCAGGCGGGGGATGTGACCAGGTGACAGACAAAGGCCGGAGGAGGAGCAACGGGCAGGGCAGGGGCCAGGCAGCTGGAAGCGAGTCAGTCTCGGCTGGCTTGGGGCACAGGAGGAGGGCCAGAGCCCTGGCTCTGGGCTCCCTTCCCTCCAAGATGGGCTTGGCTGAAAGTCACTGATTTCTGTGCTAACAAGTTCCATTCTACGCTGTGTTCCTGTCGACTCATACACCTTCTGTTTTACCGGCTGGCTGAGAGTCACGTCTGACTGCGGAGTTGGGGTGCAGGGCCCTCTGGCTTCCCCAGGGGCCCCACCGGGGCAGACTCGCTGTGGGACGCGCACGGTGCGGAAGGGGATGCTGAATGCTCCGAGGTCAGCCCCGGGAAGGTCGAAGCTGGGTAAGCTTCTTGCCCTGGTGTGACATTATGAGAGTAATTTAATATCTCATCGAAAGGTGACAGGGCCAGAAAGAGTTAATTACCTCACAGACTGACCTGACCCATGGGCAAACTTTAGAAACTGGCTAGGAAGATATGTAAATGAATAGAGCTTTGAAATGCAAGTCTGCATTGTCAGAGATAGAAGGGGAGATGTTTGCTCAGGTCTTGTGATGCAAGCAAACAAGTCTTGTCTATTGCTATAGCTTTAATTCAAAGATGAAAAAAGGAGTATTAGTAGTTAGGAAGACACTTGAGGGAAATAGTATTATTGTCTCTATGTCTCTTTGAAGGTTGTGGTAACCTGTATCTGAACTATTTAATGGATAAATTACCCCGTGCTAATTGCCAGGATGTTTGGGAGAAGGAGAGTTAAGCCTATTGTTTTCTCAGGCCAAAAGGCTGTTGGAAATGTATAAAAACCTTGGGATCCGTCTTCATCTCAGATCTGCTTTGGGTTTCAAGAGGGGGAAAGGATTGAGCCATAAGGATTGAGATCCCCAGTCACTGAATATGGACATTGAACTATAACCTATGAACTATTTCTAAAAGGACTTTTGGCAACTACAAGCTCATCTCTGCTGTGTATCTGAACCTCAAGAATTGAATTAAAGTCTGTCTGTATATTGATCTTTTAACCAACTCTTTCTCTTTTCTTTTTTAATAAATTTTGGCTTAGTTAATAAGAATTGGCTATAAGTGTGTATTTTGGGTAGGATCTAAGTTATAATTGGGAGGGAATGGTTTGATGGGATAACGTGATTTTAGTCAATTAGGCAATAACGTGCCATCGCTGGTAAAATGTGGGTCCGGCTGGAGAATCTTGCCTGTATGCTCGGGGTTCTACCGATCGCCATATTTGGGGTCGGGAAGGAATTTTCCTCCAGGGTAAATTGGCAGAGGCCCTGGAGGTTTTTTGCCTTCCTCCGCAGCATAGGGCAGGGGTCTCAAGCTGGAGGATTCTCTGCGACTTGAAGTCTTTAAATCACGATCTGGAGACTTCAACAGCTGAGATAAGGGAAATTGGGTGGGCCAGCTTTTGTGGCCTGCATCATGCGGGGGGTCAGACTAGATGACCATAATGGTCCCTTCTGACCTTAAAGTCTATGAGTCTATAATTGGACCTGGTATGTGGCTGATCCTTTGGGGTTGGAAGAACCTTTTCTTTTATATGATGAGATAAGATTTTCAGTAATCCTCATCATATCTGACACGTGTGTCTGGATGGAGGCCTGAGGCTGGGCACTTTAAGGGAACTGCGTTGTTTGGACTTCTGAGTAACCAGTGAGGTACTATAGAAGCTGTTTTGTGCTGGTTTGGTAAATCTAAGTATTGGAATATCCACCAGCGTTTGGGGTTTATCTGCCTCATTCTGTTTGCAGTTCACTCTGATTGAGTGAGCTCAGCTGGCTCCCCCGGCAGCATTGTCACACCTGGCGACAGTCTGCTCAGAGAGAGGAGGCTCCCCCAGAGTCCTGACTGGCTTTGTAGGGAGTAGTTCCAGAGCATCGCCCAGTGACTCCATGACACGAGGGCAGTCTGGGACCAGAACCAACAACCAAAAATGGGAGATGGGGGGGAGGGGCAGCACCTGGGCCTCATCGGTGAGCAGAGAACCAAGGGGCTGGGCACTTCCACCCACCATCCGCTTGCAGGCACCTTAGAAGACAACTTTGGGGGAGGGATCCAGGTAGGAGATGGGTTGATCAGAAGGAGGTCGCTCACCCAGCCTGGCTGTCCCCCAGCTCCTAGGACCCCGAGACCCACTTGGCCTGTTGTTGTTCTGAGCTTGAGAGAGACGTCCTGACAGACCAGGCCCAGGCGAGGGACCCACCAACAGCACCATCTCCACCAGCCCCAACACGGGAGGTGAGTTGGGACCCTGCTGACACCCCACTTCCTTGTCATGGGTCCTGTCCCTGCCTGCCGTGTTGTGTCTCTCTCCTGGCTTCCCCCTGCTGCCTTGGGTCAGTGAGTGTCTGGCTGCCCCAGCCCAGGCTGCATCTTCTGGCCTGTGGATCTCTCCTCATGCAGCTCCCAGACGCCCTGCCTGGCTTGCCAGCCCCCTCCTGCCTCCACTTCCCAGGTGCCCTGCCTGGCTCGCCAGCCCCCTCCTGCCCACTGTTCCCGGGGCCTTTGCGCTCAGGGGAGCTGGTGTTAATGCCCAGGAGTAACGAGGTTTTGAGCAGGTGATGACCTGCTGGGGTCGCCAGCTGCTTCCCAAGCTCTGTCACGGAGGACGCGCCATGAACCGATCTCCCTGGCATAGAGCTTCCCAGCCCGGGGCAGAGATGCTGGAGCCCCTGCTGGCCGGGTTGCTGGCATGATCAGGCCGTTAGGGTGTCTGCCATGTGGTGCAGAGTCACCCCCTGCTTGGCCCTTGCAGCCCCAGCACACACCCTGAGAGGGGCCCGCTGCTTCGAAACCAGGCCATGCAGAACCTAGGCATCTCCCACCCGGCAGGGTGAGCTCTTCCCCTGGGAAGGGCAGCAGGGGCAGGGA